AAAGGGCTGCTAATGTAGCTCAGTGGTTAAGTGCCCCTGGGTTTAATCCGTAATACAAAAAAAAAAAAAAAGAAAGAAAGAAAGAAAAGAAACTTCTCTAAAATGCAAAGTACTTAAAATCTATCCCTTCGATGCTTTATAATGTCTCTCCTTCTCTCCTTAATTACTGATGAGTTCAATAGTTACTCTGCCACAATGGAAAATGTGAGGTTCCACACTCCATCTATCTCACTATATTAATATGATCAGTCTGTATCATCCTTGTCCCAATCCTTCAGAAACTGAAATTGGTGTTCCTTTTCTCTAGAGACTGTACCACCTATTCTGAAGACCTGTATTTCCTGTTCCCTGTGACCTTATCCCCATACCGGTCCTTTTTTGGCAAAATCTTTCCTACTCCATCTGTTCCTTGATTTTGCTGCATTTGACAATGGTAACAAACCATTTTCCTATTACATTTTCTCTCCCTGACTACTCTCACGACACTGTCCTATTTCTTCTTCTCATTCCACATTTCAAATTGTACATGTGGTAATTTTTTTTCAATTCTCTTACTTCTAACACATCTTTTTAATCTTTAATCCTGTTTTCTCTTTACCTGTTGGAGAATGGGGTAAAGGAGGAACTGGGGAAACAGAGTCAAGGTAGGTAGGATGTTTCTAATTGCTACATGTTGAGGCAGAAAAATATTGAGAACTATAGCTTATCACTTTCCTTGGAGAATTCATTTATTCTCATAGATACATACTCAGATCTATGCAATAATCCCCAAATTCAGTCTCTATTATAATTTTTACCTCTTTCCTGAGACCCAGTCCATGCTCCTGGAGGCATAATATTTTTATGTCCCTCTATTAGACATTTCTAACTTGACACAGCAAACTTTGCCATCAACTTTTCCATCTAAAATTATTGCATTTACACCCTTCCTATCTTATGAAAGATCCAACAAATAGGTATTATCCAAATTTGAAAAAAAAAAGAATGACATTTCCTTCATTGTTTTTTTTTTTTTTTTTTTTTTTGGTGGTACTGGGGAACTCAGGGCCTTGCACATGCTAAGCAAGTGTACTGGCACTGAGTTACAGCCGCAGGCCTTCTTTAAAATTTTATTATCGAGACAGAGTCTTGCCAAGTTGCCAGGCTGACCTTGAACTTGGGATCCTCCTGCTTCAGCTTCCTGAGTAGCTGGAATTACAGGCATATCCCATGGCAGCCTTCATTTCTTATATCTAGTTAGTGATAAATTCATCACTAGTACCTTCCTTCATTAAAGAGAAAAGGCAAAGCAAAGAATTATGTATCAAAAAAAAAAAAAAAAAGCTATGCTTAGAGCTAGGGATGTAGCTCAGAGGTAGAGTACTTGCCTAGCATGTGCTAGGCCCTGGATTTGACCCCCAGCACAGCCAAAATAAACAAAACAAAAAAGCTATCCTTATTAATTTTTTCTATTACATTCACTACAATCTTGGGGCTGAGAACATAGCTTAGTGGTTGAGCCTCCTACTTTAGCATGCACAAGGCCCTGGATTCAATAAAAATGTGGGGCTGGGGATGTAGTTCAGTGGCACATGCTTAGCGTGTATAAGGCCTTGGGTTCCTTCCCCAACACTACAAAAAAAGTGAGTGTGTGAGTGTGTGTGTGTGTGTGTGTGTCCTCAGAGTCATTAAAAATTATTGAGGATCCCAAAGAGTTTTTGTCTATGTGAATTTTATCTGTTACTATTTACCATATTAGAAATTAAAATTGAGGGGAAAAAAACATTTTTCAGTATTGGTGATTATACTTGGGGTTGCTTTACCACTGAGTTACATCCCTAGCCCTTATTTTTATTTTAAGACAGGGTATCACTAAAGCCAGGTGCAGTGGCACATGCCTATAATCCCAGCTACTCGGGTGTCTGAGATAGGAGGATTGGAAATCCAAAGCCAGCCTCATCAACTTAGTGAGACCATGACTCTAAATAAAACTTATAAAAAGGGGTGGGGATGAGGCTCAGTGGATAAGCAAATCTCACTAAACTGACAATGCTAGCCTCCAACTTGTGTTCCTCCTGCCTCTGCCTCTGGAGTTGCTGAGAATATATAGTTTTGCCTGGCAAAACTTAGAAAAATTTAAAACACAAGAATATATAGATGGGGATTGGGGATATGGCTCAAGCGGTAGCACGCTCGCCTGGCAAGCACAGGGCACTAGGTTCTATCCTCAGTACCACAAAGTAAAATAAAGATGTTGTGTCCGCCGAAAACTAAAAATAAATATTAAAAAAATTCTCTCTCTCTTTAAAAAAAAAAAAAAAGAATATGTAGATAACATTCCATTAACTGTCAGAGCAATTGGCAACTTATCACCAATCATGCAGCCAAAACTTCAAAAAGGCAAATAACATCATTATTATGAAGATAGTTTCAACCTCTAGAATTCCTGGTTTACTTTGAGATACTGCTTTACTTTGCTTCTCTTATCCATCTCCCTATCAGTTAATGACTACTGATGACAGACTTTTGTGCACATAGACTAAATGCAGGAAAAAAGACTGCCTTTTTACAAAATACTCTTCAAATTCATTTGCATGCCTGCTGATCCACAGCCTAACAAGACCTATCAATTTTCTGTCCTGCTGTTCCTCTTTCCTTCCTTCTCTGCACACTGCACTTTAGCCAAGGTTGGAGGTCCCAAAGAGAACAAACCTTTTTCTAAAAGCTTTAGAGTCTTTGAATGTATGCTTTGCCTAGAAGGCTTTCTCTTACTCATCCTACAGACATGGTTCATAAGGTTCTCTTCCATGAAGGTTTCCCATGAATCCCCAATTACCTTTTCTCTGTATTTTCATAATACACTAGAGTTTCTCACATTGCTCTGCAATTACTGTTTATATATCTGCCTCCTCTTTTGAACAAAGACAAAATTTGTTTTATACTCTTCTCTGCATTTCTATAGTACCTTACACATAGTGGAAACCCAAAGATGTGATCATATACTCAAATCAGTCTTTCAGAGTCATTTCAAAGCTCATCTATCCCCAAGTACTCCAGGCCACACAGTATTTGCTTCTTCCTCTGAAGTTCTGCAGTACTATATGGAAACTAAGAAGAGAGAAAATCTTAAAGGAAACTAAATAATTATTCCTTCTTACAAAAGAGAATGGCTCACAGAATCAAGTTTTAATTCCCTGGTCAAAAGCCTCCATCAAGTAGGTCTTCTACACCTTTTCATTTTTATTATTCTTCAGTATAAACTTAGCAATATGAACATCACCATTTCTAATAAACACACACAAACACAGACACACTATCCATTCTATTTGCATTCCTTTTGTTTATATTATTCTCCCCTTTAGGAAATACATTTCCCTGTTATCCTAAATCCTTTTTTCCTTAAAAGCTTGGTACAAGACCTATTAATCCCATGAAGCTTTCTGGGACTGTGCCAAACCAAAGGAAAATTTCTCATTTTTGAATATCTAGTACATTCCCATTTGTTCCATATAACTTAATATTTAGTATTATTTAATAATATTACATAAATAAACACAGCAATCCCAAATATCTTGATAGCTCTTCTAGAGCAGGCACTGGCTAGACACCAGGATCCCAATGACTTGGGAGGCTGAAGCAGGTGGATCAAAAGTTTGAGATCAGCTTCAGCAACTCAGTGAGATCCTGTCTCAAAATTAAAATAAAAAAAGCTGGGAACATAGCTCTGTGAAAGAGTGCCCCAGGGCTCAATACCCAGTTCCCTAAAAAAAAAAGCAGGCACCTGTCTTCACTCAAAATATCCAAGTGCCATTAAAAACCAGATAATGGAAAGGATTCTAATCTTACATCCTTTGTATCAGCCTTGCTAGCAATAGGAAGATACAACATATATAAATATTACCTGCTTTACTTGATTTTCTTCCTAACTGATCAGAATAATCCAAGCTATTGTTTTCCTAGAGAATATTTTATCTATAAATATAATTAACATTTTGAAAATAAAGTAAGTGGTATGAGATGCAATTCCTCAGCACCTTGAAACTGCTAACTTACACAAGACACAGGTTACAGGTTACTCATTCTGAGTCTTCAACATACTTACCCTTCTCTTTTTTGCTCCATTATCTTAGATATATATTTTATTTTAGTTGTTAATAGTTTTAGCTCCTTCAATACGTTCTGATGTATGATTACAGGCAATAATGCCAAACCTTTTAAGTACAGCCAAAGAAAGGAGGGAAGTAAAAATCATGCATAAAATAAAATCAGTCTTTGAAAAACTAGAAATTATGGTAATTAGGTCTCAGATCAATGTTGAGACCTTTAGCCAAGGTTGGAGGTCCCAACCTCTTTTACTTAGGAAGAATTTCTCTAAAGGGTCATATCTTCCTTATAACCATTCCCTTAAGTATCCAAATGGGGCAAGAATTATTTGGAAAATAGACTAAACTTAACCATCAAAACTTATTCCATGATATCATGGATTGATGGTAAATTCTGAAGATCACCTTCTCCAACTCTTCACTTTTTTTTTTTTTTTTTTGCCTATGTTATAAAGCCAATACAAAGCAATACTACAGGAAAACATCGGTTAAAAATAACTTTAGGTTTAGGGCGGTTTAAGCCCTACTTGTTTGTAAGTACAGTATATCAACCACAACATTAAACTGAATGTTGAACTCTTATTTAAACACTACTAAACAGATTTGAAGTTAAGTGCAATTCTTCCTGAGATAGATGTGTGTGTATATAACACACACACGATGTATATGTATGATCAACACATATGACATGTATATGCTATTCACATACATGATAAACATATATATATATATATACACATATATATATGAACATGAATATTCTTTCAACAAAGGATTCCTGGAATGAATTTCATCCAAGAAGAAAAGGGGACTGATGAATGAAGAAAGGAAGAAGCTATCAGCTGACAAGCAATAGCTTCCTCACCCCATTTTGCCCCTCCCCAGAAACGGTAGGAAGTAGAAAGCTGCAGAATGTACCTTCCAGGCCAGAAGCAAAACATTGAGGATGGCCAGCAATGGGCAGGGTCCATTCTCATTCTGGGTGATGATGGGTGTGTTCTCTTCCTTCCACTGGATCCACTTGATGTGATACACAGACTGTCCCGGGAAGCGTTCCTTGGAGGCTGCCAACACCTGAGCGGTGTCCTCCTCCTCCTCTCTACACAGAGGGGCAGCCCGAGGCAATACTGCCGCGCCCTCCTCCTCCTCGGGAACCTTGTTCTCTGATCCCTCCTCACTATTGAATTCGGAGCTACTGGGGAAAGAATGCAGGTTAGAGAACGACTCTAGGGAGTCCAGGCTTGGCGATTCCCCAGGAGGGCTCGGGTCGCTGCAACTGCTGCTGAGGCCGCCAGCGCTGCGGGGCTCCTCGGAGCCGGCGGTCACCAGTTCTGCTCCGCAGGTGTCGGCAGGATCCAGGCGGGGCCCCGAGTCTCCGGCCGGACCCAAACCAAGGCCCGCAACGGCCTCGGCTGTCTCGGGGGAGGCGGTCACCTTGTGCTGCCCTCTCAGAGGCGCCTTCGCGGGAGCAGGACGCTCCAAAACGCTCTCCTTCAAGTCCAAGCCCGGGAAGGAGCTGCAGAGTCCAGGAGTCTGAGGAGAGCCCGCGGGAGAAGCCGAGTCTGGGGGGCTTCTGGCAGCCGCCGCCCCCTGCCCATTCCCGCTGCCGTTCTCCGCCGCCCGTACTCCAGGACCATCTCCAGCGGCAAGCCTGGTCTCCTGTAGTCCTTCTGGGGGAGTACCTGTTCCCGGCCCTGGCCCGGCCGCCACCCCGTGTTCTAGCGGCAGCAGGCTCTCGGGGCCGCTCTCCATACCCGGCCGGCCGCCCGCCCCTGGCTCTATAGAGACCGCGGCCAGCACTCCTCAGCCAGCGCCTCCGACGCCATGACAGCGGCACTGGCAGTTACAGCGCCCTAGCGCGGCCCTGGCCAGGCACGTCACCGGGGAGGGCACCGGGAGCGCGCGCGCCGCCGCCACCGCGCCCTCCGCCCGATCGGGGCGTGCCCCCGCGCGACTGAGCTATGCGGGGCGAAGGCGAACCCGCAGCAGACGCCCACGTAGCCCCGTCCCTCCCGCGTGCGGGTGCCAGCTTGAGTCCCGAAAGCCGGGCGTGGCGGGCGTGGCTGGGGGCGTGGCTAGGGCGCGTCTCCGCGGCCTCAGCTCCAGTAGGAAAACATCCTCTCACTCTGTGGCCGGAAGTTGAACTCCGGGGCAGCCCCACTGCCGCGCCGCTGCTTTAAAGGCCAGCGCTGGAAGCGGCTGAACTCTTGGCTGTGACCTCTCAGAGCCGGGTCGGATGTGGGTCTGAGCGGGGGTGGGGTGGGTATTGGAAGTGGTCGTAGCATTTGAAGAAGGGCTCGGGAGACTTGTTTCACCAGCTTGTAATATGAAAAATTCACAGCATTTCTTACCGAATGCAGCTTTTAAAGGCGGAAATCTATTCGAGGTGTTTGGATTACTGCAGTGCACAAATTTCATTCTCCCTGTTCTGGCTGAGAATCGCTGGGCTTCCCACCGGCTACTGGTGCGACGACGTTCGCCCTATAGGAGGCGTCAGTGTGGTTGTGGATATTGGCCTGCGCAGCAAAAGAAAGTGGGTAATTTGGGCCAGTAATAATAAATTTACTTGCGTTCGAATTAGCCAAGTCTGTGGTTTTGGTTTTGGCGTCATTTTGCATGGAGTGGGAAGCGCCTGCTAATGAAAAATGTCTTTTTCTAATAAGAATTGACTACTCTTCAGAACATGTAGTTTTCAAAGAGGACTGACGGTAGCCTGGAAGTTTTGTTGGTAAGAAGGTGGATGCGGGTCCTATTGTGACCCCTCCCAGAAAAGCACCATTTCTTGAAATCCCCCTTTCCCTCAGCTCCGGGGACACAAAAATTACAACACAGATCTTATCTGACGTATTGAGTCAGACTCCTGCTTGTAATCCCAGCTATTCGGGAGGCTGAGGCAGGGGGATCACAAATTTAAGGCCTGACTCCCTCCACCTTAGTGAAACACGGTCTTAAAATAAAAAGGGGTGAGGATGTAGCTTCCTTAGCATGCCCGTGGTCCTGAGTTCAATCCTCAGAAACACCAAAAATAAAAAACACCAAACAAAAACCCCTGACACATAATAGAATATGATATATTCGTATTCTATTGGTTAGAGAATATAGCCAACATTACAAAGTATTGTTTTATTCATTCTTCGGCACATTTTAGTACCAAGTATATTGGTGGGTACTGTTTTTATCATTGCGGATGCCACTGTAGTCCGCAGAGTTCAAGTAAGTGTTGGGAATCAAACCCAGGGCCTTCTAAGCAAGTGCTCTACAACTAAGCTATATCTTCAGTCCCTTGACTTTTTTTTCTAATTGTTTCTTTCTTTCTTTTTCTCTTTCTTTCTTTCTTTCTTTTTTTTTGGTACCAGGGATTGAATCCAGGGGCACTTAACCAATGAGCCGCATCCCCAACCCCCTTTTATTTATTTATTTTTATTTTTAAATTTTTTTAGTTGTAGGCAGACACAACAGCTTTATTTTATTTATTTATCTTTATGTGGTGCTGAGGATCAAAGCCAGTGCCTCACAGGTCCTAAGCAAGTGCCTACCACTGAGCCACAATCCCAGCCCCCAGCCCCTTTTTATATTGTATTAGAGACAAGGTCTTGCTGAGTTACTTAGGGCCTCACTAAGTTGCTTAGGCTGGCTTTGAACTTGGGAGTCTCCTGCCTTAGCCTCCTGAGACACTGGGAGTACAGTCATGTGCCACTGCATCTGGCTGTTGCTATACTTTTAATACTTGCTCGGTAAGTATAGTTTCTGAAGCATGCAGAAGATGGAGCCTCTTCCCCTTTTAACATTGGCATGATATCTATCGGATTTTTTTGGAAAGCAAAAAAATCAGAAAAGATAATATAAATTTTCTTCAGAATGTTGAATTTAGGAACCTTGTGTGCATTTGGTTTCCATATTGATCCATAAGCAATAAATTCTGTAGTTAGATTTGAATTTTTCTCTAAGAAAGAATTGCCGGTGTTAAATATGTGAAGACTCTGGGTTTGATCCTGAGTACTGCCTTCCCTTCCCCCCAATATTGCTGGATTAAGCACATTACAGAACCTTGAAGTACAATTGAGAATATTACAGGTTTCAGGAAATTCAGAATTTAGTATGGTTTCTCAAATTTAAGAAGATCTGTAAAGTTTTGTTATATGAACAAATTAAATAAATGAAGAATCATACATAGGCCATTAAATTACACATAGATCAAAAAATCATGGAACATAGTTCTCAAATAATGGCCCTTCAAGCATTTTTTAAAAGCTCTGCTTGGACTGGGCACAGTGATGCATGCATGTAATCCCAGTGGCTCAGGAGACTGAGGATTGCAAGTTCAAGGCCAGTCTCAGCAGTTTAGTAAGACTCTGTCTCAAAAATAAAAAGGACTAGGAGTGTAGCTCAGTGGTAAAGCCCCCTGAGTTCTATCTCTGGTATCAAACAAACACAGCAATAACAACAACCCACTTGGAAAAACCTGTACTTATACTGGTAGACTTTTATTAGTGTATGTTTCAAATGTTCACATTCATAATTTTAAAATTTGTTTACAACAAAAAGAAGCAGAACCAGTTTTTCTTTTCAATGTAGTCAATAATTATATAGGTCAAGATGAAGATTGGCAAGAAAATATATAATTATTTGAGTTCATAAAAATGTACGTAGTGATAGAGGCATGCCAGAGGCTCTGGGTTCAATCCCTAGCACCAAAAAATTAATTAAAATTTAAAAAAAGAAAAATAAATATACATAGTTTGTTTTTTAAATGGAGGTACAGAATGGCATCTGAGGAGAGTACCAGAGACATAAAACAATAAACTGAGTAATGTCTTATTTTTGCTTTATATGTATTTTTACCTAATCTTTGAGATATGATAAACCATTTTAGGTTAAAATGTTACTACCCAAATTTATAGTAATTATTATTTGTAGTACTTGGTATTGAACCCCATGGGTACTCTACCATGAGTTACATTCCCAGCCTTCTTTTTAAATATTGAGACAGGATCTTGCTAAGTTGCCCAGGCTAGTTATGAATTTGCAGTCCTCCTGCCTCAGGAGTAACTGGGAATATAGGTCTGTGTCACCACATCTAGTTTTTAGGATTAATCTTTAAAGTTACGGATGTAATAGTCTTAAAAAGTTAAATAGCTTCTCTGCTGTATTCCTCCACATCTTTGAATACTGCTCTTTTTTTTTTTTTTTTTGGTACTGGAGATTGAACCCAGGGGTGCTTAACCACTGAGCTACATCCCCAGTACTTTTTATTTTTTATTTTGA